AAATGGTAGGTAAAATATGATAGTCACAAAATGGAGCAATCACACTACCTATCAAATAGTGATATCATGCTTCAGGTAACTAAGGAATCATACTTCAAGTAACTAAGGACCAACCAACAAATCTAATGAAACAGGAGCAATTACCTTGCTGATTTATCCCAAAAATCAGCCAAGAAGAAAGGGTGATGGTAGCATGGAAGCTCCTTTAGCATCAATGGAGGTTGGTCACTTGAAGGCTCTTGGCTTGGCCTTCATGGCCATCACCCTCATGATCTCTATGCTATGGGCATGGGTCTCTCTCCTTCTCTAACTCTCTCTCTTAGCTCCATGTGGGAAACAAAAGGAAACCTTGCAATCATCTAAGAATGAAGGGAGTTAAGGGCTTTTATGTGTTGAGAGGAGAGGGAGAGTGAGAGATACTTTATAAGGTCAAATTTAGACCATTGATTTTTGGGGTTCCATGAGGTGAGAGAGAAGCTTAGATCCTAGCCATACAACTCACACAATGGCTATCATATGTGCGGTTGTGATTTAACACCATTACCCCCTTTAACCATAATTCATTTTCCAATTCCCCTCATTATATGTGAATTTGAATTTTCAATTTTAAAATCCAAAAAATGATTGTAAATCTCTATCATTGTTTCCATCATCTTTGGCTAGGATATAACCATAGAGATAAAAACCTAGGTGGGGCGTCCCACCCTCTCAATATTTAACTATTCATCTCTCTCTTACTTTATGAGATTTAAATTTCAAATCATATACTTTATGGCATTGTCCACACATGTGGTGTCATAAGACACATTTGTGTATCATAGGCGTACACATTTGTGCAATCAAGTTTCCACACATAAATAGTGATTAAAGAGCTTTGTTTTTTGTTGGATCAAGCTTCATAAAATGTGGAAACGATCTTGGTCCTACATGGCACTCACTTGTGGATTTAAATTTTAGATTGTATACTTTATGGCCTTGTCCACACATATGGTGTCATAAGACACATTTGTGCATCATAGGCGCTTACAGATTTGTGCAATCAAGTTTCCACACAAAGAGTGATTAACAAGCTTACATTTCAAAAAAAAAAGAGTGATTAACAAGCTTTGTTTTTGATTGGATCAAGCTCCATAAAATGTGGAAACGATATTGGTCCTACATGGCACTCATGTGCAAAATCTCTACACATGCAGCACACAAAAGAATACTTATCACTTATATATGTACCAATCAAACATGTCCCACTGGCACACCACCCAATGTGTGATGTCAGCCCTAGGTGTCCATGTGGATGCCACATGGGTGGTTTATGTATGTCCATTGGTCATTTGGAAACCACATGTTTGGCTAGTCCTTGGGTGGAATTTGGTCAATCAAATTTTTATAAACCCCATTTTGCCTCCAGGAAAATTATGAAAAAAATCTCCAAAATCATTTTTCAGTGTTTTCCATCAATTCAACTCAGTTTGTCATATAGGAAAAATTATGTACAGGGAAATTAGAATCCTTTAGGAAGTAGAATTAGGTTGTTGGGCACTCCACATGGCTGTTCCTAGAATCCTACGTCACTTTCTCAAATTAACCCAACAAGACCCATGTCCCACTGACTTTGGTAAGGGCCCATGCTTAACTCATCAAAGTTAGTCCAATAGGTGGCCGGACTCTGAGATTATAGTGGATTATTGGTGCACTTCCAAGGACATGCACTCTTGTTGTTGCGTGGGTTCTCTCTAGCACATATGCATGTTTCTCCTCAGTGGATCTACCTGAGCAAGTAGGGCTTCCAATTTTGCTATTGTCATATGCATATGCTGTGGGATGGCTGTCGGTCAAGGATTTGTTATGTCTTCTCAAAGCCTAGCCTTCTCACGTAGTGCCAACACAATGGGAAAAGTATGGAGGAAATTCTACATCATGGACTACACATATGGGGGTTCAAATTGAGGGCTTAGGACATTGATAGTATGGGGCAACAAGGCATCTTAAAGCTTGCTGTTCATGGATTGAGACATGGCTAAAAAAAATGGTTATGGGAGATGTGGTGGCCAAGAGGTTTAGGCAAGAGAGTGGCACCTTGTGAAGGAAGCTTGTGAACGGATATTTCTGAGCCTTGGAGCTTCAATGGCCAAGCTCCAATGGCCAAGGGGGTGAGGAGGCTTGCTAGACACACAAGACTATGGTCCAAACTGCCAACGTGCAGGAGATGTTGGAGTTATGGCCATTCAAGGCTTTGGAATCCCGACATAATAACTCTTGATCATAGTAGGAATGTATGAGAGTGACGTGATTCTAGGATCGTAGCGAATTGAGTCACATAAACCTGAGAGCCATGAGGCCGATGTGTATATATGTGAGGCACCGAGAGGGTTGAGGGTTACCTCTATTCAGGTTCAGTTTTGATTTATGCCTTATGACTCAGTGGTGGCCAGGATATTGTGTATATAATTGATAGAGGTAAGGTCGATTTTGATTTATGCCTTATGATTCTGTGATGGTTAAGATATTGTGTATATAATTGATTGATGATAATATGAGCTCGAGTATTTTATGAGATTTAGCCATGTATGAAAAGGTTAAGGCTTATAGAGGATATAAGCCTAAATTCTTGATATTGCAAACCATTAACCTTCTCATTTGTGCATGTATAGTGGCAAATGGTGGAAGCTGCTCTACGATGTTGATCCACTTGGGAGAGATATGCACATGTGCCAAGAGAGGATATCTGCATCTATTTTAGTCCATGTCCTTGGGGGTGCACTTGTAATCCAACACAACCTGAGCATAGTTACTTGGAACGAGAGCAACAAATGATCTGGGATCAGAAGTGCAGAGCGAAGTTAGCACAAAATTCCATGGTAGGGGAAACGAGGTCTATGCATGGTAGAGGGACCGAGATCCCTGGCTTTTTGGGAGCATGTTGCATATCAATTGTAAAAGGGCTGTATTATTTGTTAATGAAATTGAGGCATTAGCTTGCATTTATGTGGCTTTGCTTCTAATTCTTGGATCTAGTGGCGAGGAGAGATAACTTTTAGAGAGATAAATTACCCTTAGCCCATACACCCTAGCCTACCCTGTGGTCCACACGCACCAACCTTGACTCGCGACTAATTGTTCTCTCTCTCGTGTGCAAACAAAGAGGCTAAAGCGGCGTGTTCAAGCTAGGTCATGTCTCAATTCCACCCTCTCTCCTCTCTTTTTCTTCTTTCCTCTTTCTTCCTCTCTCTACATCGTCTTGCTTGCCGCAGTAACTCAGAATCGCTGCAAACTTGTGGTCCTGTCTTTCTCTCTGTGCCTTTCTCTCTTTTGCCACGAGATAAGTTTCAGAGCTGCAGCACCTGCGACCCCGTCTCTCTCTCCGCGCCTTTCTCTCTTCTGTGTCGCGCAGTAACTCGGAACTGCAGCAAACCTGCGGTCCTGTCTTTTTCTCTGCGCGTTTCTCTCTTTCGCCTCGTGATAAGGTTTGGAGCCGCAGCACCTGCGACCTCGTCTTTCTCTGTGCCTTTCTCTCTTTTGCCTCGCGGCAAACCTGCGGTCTTGTTTTTCTCTCTGCGCCTTTCTCTCTTTCGCCGCGTGATAAGTTTCGGAGTCGCAGCACCTGCAACCTCGTCTCTCTCTCTCTGCGCCTTTCTCTCTTTTGCCTTGCGTAGTAACTCGGAATCAGAACAAACCTGCGGCCCCCTCTTTCTCTCTGTGCCTTTCCTGCTGTTGCGTGATAAGTCTTGGAGCAGCAGCACTTGCCACCCCGTCTCTCTTTCTAAACCCTTCTCCCTTCACTGTGTGACTAGTTTCGGAGCCGTAGCACCTACGACTCCATCTGTCGTTTGTTCTTCTTCTCTTCCTAGCAACTCGGAATCGCAACAAATTTGCAGTCCCGTCATTCTCTCCTCTTTTCCTCTTCTGATCCTTACTTTGAGTGTGACAATAGCAGATTTGTGGTCTCACTCCTTCTCTCTGATATCGCTCACTGTTTCATATAGAGCCACGACAATGTCCAACCCCAGCTTCCCGTAACTTCTTTATGTCCTTCATTTTTCTTCATTTCTTCTTCTATAATGATAGCCTCCCGCTATCTGCCGTACGCTCAATTTGATACCTCCTAGAGTAGTCTCAAGAGTCTTAACATTCGGACCACCACTCTAACTTCCTCTCCGTATAGTGGAGTTAAGTTGTGGGAGATATACACGCTCTTGCCCTCACTCACTCGGGTGGAGTCATCCTGATTTGGTAGTCAAGAGAGTTTTGACTCTTTAATCGCTCTGATTGCCAAGTTTCGCAGAGTTTGCACGGATAGAAGGACCTCTGTCATCCCTTCCCCTTCATCTTTCATTTGCCAGCCAGTCTATAGTGGAGTACTTTCAATTTCACATTGCAAGCGATGGAGTAAAAGAACAAGACGACGTGTCAAAGTTTGAGGAGAGTTCATGTCCAAACCGTGATGGTAGACCGTCGGAGGGCTTCGTAATTGTTCTAAGAGGGCGACTCCTCAGGCGTATCCCCGAACCCGCAAACGACGAGTTAAGCACCTAAACGCATCCTTGTTGAAAAATCTCTCTCGTTGTTAGTTCCTATCTGCATAAAGAAGAGTGCACGCACACGCTTGAAATGCGTACGCACCCTCGCTGTTGTTTGAGAGAGGGTTTTATCTCACCAAGAAAACCAGGCCCTGACCACTTTTTTGCATTAATTGTTAGTGTTTCGGAAAGAGATATACTCCTGATAGTTCCGTTAGCAATCTTTTCTTATGTTATTCCCCTTCACTGAATGTTCTTGATTCCTTTATGGCTTAGTTACTTCAAGGTTTTCATATATTATTGTTTGTTGTTCTGCCTTCCTTTTAATGGGGTCTTGCTTTTAACAGGAAGAAACCTAGCCTTTGCTTTGTCTTCATAGTTATCGTTCGGTTCATCTGTTCAATGGATCCTAATTATTGCTATTGTTGAACTGAACTTTATGTTGACTTATGTTGTTTTCTTGGGTGGCATTATCTTTTATTTCAGTTGATCTATGATACTATCAGGAGTGGGAATTCGGGGACATCAGGTTTTGAGAATTGCCTCCAGTTTTTCCCATCAGAATTGTTTTCCTCTAGGTAATGAACTCTTTTGAGAGTCTTAATATAGCTGGGCAAGTGCTTCCGATTGCATATAAGTGTTTATGTTTTGACAGATCTGGTTCATGGACTGGTGGTGATGGGATATGGGTAGAATTGTCTGGAAAAATGCATGTCTTGGCAAGATTACTTGCTCATCTGAGGAAGTTAACGGATGATCGAATTGTTCTGGTTTCAAATTATACTCAGGTAAGTCAAAAAAATGCCACTTGAGCTTGAAGATATAGTTTCTGTCTTCCACATTTTTCATATAGTATATCAATATTTATCAGGATTGTTTAAAAAATAAGCATCATGCCCAATTCTGATATGCACGCCTCAGATTATTTATGATTACAAGCTACTTGAGCATTGGCTATAATGGTAAACGTTTCTATTGTTTTCTTTGTAATTATCGACATTTGTTTTCACTTGGTAATGTTGCTTAATCCTTCTCTCCTGGAAATTGTGCTTGATCTTTTAGATAAACTTGTACTTCAATATGATTGATGTTTTTATGGAAGTTAAGGCTTTGCTGCAATTCTGAAATGCATGCTGCTGGAAAACCTTATTGTTAGCGAAGGACATTGTCCAAAATTCTGCTGTTATGGATGATTCGGAAACAGTGTCTTGTTTCCTACACTTTTGAAAAACTTGAGGTGTTCTTGTAATGGATATTCCAGTAGGAGGGCAGCCAGCCCAATCTTTTTCTTCATGATTTGTATGATTGGATTATTTTTATACTATTGTTCTGTTATGTTTTTTACATAGGGATGTGTCTGATATTTTCTTGTATAGAACTTTTAGTGGCTTTGGAAATTCTTTGCCTTCCTTCTGGAAGTTTGGGGTTATGTTGGAAAGGTGCATTATTGACTGAATTGGCCCTCTAGTGCTTATAACTAGTCATAATCAGTGATGGTGTGTCTAGAAACAATATATTTATCTGATCTTCTGATGAATTCGCCTGTTTCCTTCTATGGAAGTGCTCCCCATGTGTGCATGGATAACAAATTATCTGTGTTTGTATCTGCTCTTTCTGTAAACTTCGTATCTTTGAACTTCCTTTGGTTTAATAGTGTATTTCTGTTTATCAGACTCTTGACCTTTTTGCTCAATTATGTCGGGAAAGAAAGTACCCTTTCTTGAGGTTGGATGGAACCACTTCTGTTAGTAAACGGCAGAAGTTGGTGAACAAATTCAATGATTCCTCTCAGGTTGTTTCGTTGTTCCCATTTTCTTCGGCCACAAAATGTGAGCCTGATTTCTTAATAAATTCTTGAATTTATATATTTTTTTATGTTATACTTTTTGAATGTTAATTATTTTCTGCAGGATGAGTTTGTATTTCTTTTGAGCAGCAAGGCTGGGGGTTGTGGTCTGAATCTAATTGGGGGAAATCGGCTGGTCTTATTTGATCCTGATTGGAACCCTGCAAATGACAAGCAGGTAATAATATAGTAGTATGTTGCCTCTGCATGTGTTTCCTTTACTGTTTTTAACATTCTTGTCGTTTTTTTGTGATTTTATAGGCAGCTGCTAGAGTTTGGAGGGATGGCCAGAAGAAGAGAGTATTCATTTACAGGTTTTTAACCACTGGGACAATTGAAGAAAAGGTATGCATTATGAGCTATGAACCTAAATTGCGATCATTATTGGGCCGCACATTCTGTATTCTTGATTCATTTGTATCTCTGTATTATGTGTAGGTATATCAGCGTCAGATGTCAAAAGAAGGGCTTCAGAAAGTGATTCAACAAGATCAGAATGACAATGTGAAAGCAGAGGTTTTGTTAGCCTATTCCATTGTTGTAAATTTGATATTCGACTTACTTTTCTGAAACGTAAGGGGCGGAGATATTCCCACTGCAGGTGAACTTCCTTTCAATGGAAGATTTGCGGGATCTTTTCACATTGCATGATGATGTAAGGTAAGGTTTATTTGTTCTTTTTCTATTTAAATTTTTTTTTATGACTTTATAGTCCTAACCTTTTTCCTGCTACTTGCACTAGTTAGAAAACATTACTACAATACAAAGGTGTCCATGTAGAAACAGGGGAATGTAATGCTTCACTTTCTTTATCTAGTCAATGAAAAAAATGGTTTTGATTAAGCTTTTGACAAAACTGATTCTGGGCTTGTAATCTTAAACTTTCTAGCTAGATGGTCAATGATATCTACGTGTTTAACTTTCCTTGCTTGAAAATGCTCATTCCTCTCATGGGTATAAAGGTTTTTATTTAGGAAAGAAAAAAATTATGGAGGAGAAAATTACATCAAATTCCTTGTTACCCTGTCTTCTAGTTAAAACTTAGCATTTATGCATTCAATATATTTTGTATTTATTTTTATTTTTGTGAATATATGAGTTACCAACTTGATGTGTAGAGTCATGCTGTAAATTACCATTAGACTACTAGCAATCCCCTACTTCTAGTCTATAGAGTTTATAGAAAGCTTGATTTTTGCTTAAAATATTGGAACATAGTTGTTAAGTATAAAGTTATCATAACAATTATAAATAACTTCAGGGTTTTGTTAGGGTACTCCTACAAATGGAGTATTTCATTAATGTATTCAATAGTTTTGGACACTCACCTTTACCCTACATTGTACTAACCTTCTGTCTAAGAGTATTCTAGGTAATTATTCAAGGGTAAAATAGAAATTCGTGATGAAAGAAAAACATTTACTATCGTGGAGAATGGTATCATCTATATGAGGTATGAGATCACTCACATGGAGCATTAATTGCTTTTTAACTACTAATACAATGCGCTAGTTTCTTAAAGGAATATCTATTATGCTCCTGCTAATTACGAGAAAATCCCGAATTACGAGAAAATACCATTGCTCGAAAAATTTTGAATTAAAAAGCAAGGATAAAAAGTGTTAAAAATTATTGAGCACATTAAGAAAATACTCTATGTATAGGAGTACCTTAACAAAACCCATAATTTAAAGGGTAATTTATCAAATTACCTATGAGAGTTTAATCGAAAAATAGAAAAGGGTCCAAATTTTATTGAACTATAAATTAAGGTACGGGAAGAGTTCCAGATGCCTAAAAGGTCACTTGTTTCTTTTACATCTAAGTTCTGTTAAGTGAACAAAGACCACCGTTTGATCAACTAGCTTGAACTACAAAGATGATGTATTTGGATGGTGCAGTTCAGCCTATGAGGACCCTTCTTGGAACATATGGTATGGAAGAGTAAGCTTTAACTGCAGCCAGTCAAGAATGTGATTTTCACTCTTCCACTTGCCACAACTGCATGCTTATCACAAAAATGTAAGATCTAAGAGTGATTGTCTCCCCTCTCCTACTGTCTTGAGTCATTTATATAGACTTTTCAGGCGGGAAGATTTGTTGTGATCTGATCTTTTTTCCAGCCTTGAGTCAATGATGATCTCCTTTTTATCATGTCACAGTTGAAAGTCAAATTTGAGCTTGACTCTCCTCTTCTTATTTTTTGCAGTATTATCTTTTTCTTGTTTATTAGCTTTTTATCTTCTGGGATCATGTTGTTTGAGTTTGTTTCTTCTGATATTTATCCTCTTATCCCGAGTTCATTTCGAAATAGAATATCTCTTTTTAATTGTCCTCACTGGGAACCATTTCTCTTACGAGGATTTTCCCTGCTGGTAGCCTTGTCATCACCCCATTCCCTTTGCGTGCCTTTGGTGTTATTTCTCCCGGTTATATTTTTGTTGGGGTTTTGTGGCCATTTAAAGGGCTTATGATAGCATGTACTAAAAATATATAATAAATTATTGACTCCAGTGCGAGTACAGTCCAGCTTGGATTGTAGGGCGTTAATAATGCCTTAGACTCACGAGTTTTGACTGGCTATGACTCAATGTGAAGTCTAAAAATCCATAGTCTTGGGCATTGTGTAAGCACAACTGATAAGGGTTTTAATGTGGGGTTATCCCTAGATGAGGTCAGAGATGTGCCCATGATAGTTGGCCAAGGGACATGGATTTGACCCCTATGTGTGATGGGTGGCCTATGAGGACAAGGGCCTAAATCCTCATCATTACCATCATACAACATGTACACTAGATAGCCATCTAGGAAGCGACCCTTTGGATAAAGGTATGTGATGTGTACATGTGCAGAAGAGATGACTCCCTGCAACACTGGACTGTGTTCAAAGTACCCATTGCGCATATTGTTGAAATGGGCCCTGGACTTGTCCTCAAGGAGGGACTTGTAATTCATGGTCTAGGATTGTATCTTTTCCACTTATTGGCTGACTTTGATGGTCAAATCATGAACCCCTACAATGGGTTATGGCTCATGGGATTGGTTGGGTCAGTTTGAGAAGGTGTAGTGAGTTGTTGTTTCTTTAGTTTTTTTGCTATAATCCTAACTCTATGGATCCAATTCCCATAAAACTTTCTTAGATATGTTTTAATTATTTTTTGGATAATTAAAATTAATTTTTAGACCTCTCTAGGCATTTTATTTTATTGAAATATGATTTTTAAATAAAAAATCAATTTCCTAGATTTATTATTTTTGGAGGTTTTATAAAAATCATTTTATTATCTGAAAATTATGTTTAGGGTATTGGGGGCCCATTGGGCTCATTGGGCCCACAATATTGTGGGTGTATGAGGTCCACATGGCCATCCACCTTCTCCATACTTTCCTAAAATAAAAGATGGCAGTTATGCCATATGTTGACTTGATATTTGAGGAAACCTTTTTATGTAGAGATTTTGATTGATTTCAAAATAGGTGTAAGAAATTAATTGTGATTGATTTCAAAGTAGGATGGTGTAAGAAATTGATTGTGACTGATTTCAAATTAGGAATGTGTAAGAAATGGACTGATTACTTTCTCTACACAAAACATTTGATGTGAATGGAGCTATGGAAACTGAGGGATAAGGTTCCACATCATTCCTTTAATCATGATGTTTGATTTAGGGAATGAATGCTTGAGATCTCTTCACCTTATAGATCTCCAATATCAAAGGTCAATATTAAACCTCATGATGATGGCAAAACCCTAACTCTAGAAACCCTAACCCTTGTTTATAAACACTAGCTGGGGGTTCTATCTCTCTCTCTATCTCTCTCTCTCTAAGCAACCAAGGGGGGCCAGCCCCACTCAAGCCTTCTCTCTCTTTTTCTCTCATTCGAATTAGGGTTTAGGAAAGAGTTAACCCTAAGGGGTAGCATGCCCAAGCCACACAAGCCCTAGCCCTAGGTTCTTGCCTCATGCTCATGTGTTGAGCCTTGGTCAAGGAAATCCCATGTAATGCTCTCTAAGGGTTTTGCCTAGTCTTCCCTAATTGTGAGGTGTATTTTTGAACCAAGATCTCATGCGCCATTGGTAGAGGAGATCTGGTTTGGGGTGTATGAAGTCCTTGGAGGTAACCTGAGGCAAGGTACGCGTTGTGTCATATTCAATGCTTCTGTTGCTTTCATTTCTTTCTTATGTAATTTTTAATTTACAAGATGAATGTAGCTTTCCCTTTAATGGCATGCAAGTGAGAGGTTTTTACTATTCCATTAAGTCAAATTGTATTTTTGGACACTTGTAAGTGATCCAGGTGGCAATACGTATAAAAGAGTAAAAGATTTTAATCGATATTGACTTGCCCAGTCACCTAGTCGACTTAACAATTTTATCGTAACAAAATACACCCAAATAACATTTTAACACTCTACCCATATCTTTTAATTTATTTTCAAAATACTTAGAAAATAATACATGGTCTTGAGTTGGAATAGTACCAAAAAGGTAAATTGTTAAATAGTTTATCTCTTATGGGTATTTTTAATAACTTCCCCTAAATCAAATAATGTAAGCTGAGTTTGGATTGCATTGTTATTGCTTTAGAATGGAATAGTGTAAGGTTCTATACTGGTCAATGGGATGCTTTTTCCTAATTGTTTACGAATACCACTCACATGTAATGGCTCTTTAAACCCTTTTTCGGTTATAAAATAGAGATGGGCAGACCCTTAAGGTTTTCTCTTTCTTGGGCAGACCACTCACATGGAACGGCTCTTTCAATATTCTATTTGGATTGATCATTCTCTTCTATACTAAGATGTTCATTTAGATCATCAAGGTGTGGATGGTACCATTGTGGCACAACTTCTTCTTAAGGTCTTTCTTTGAATTAGGAAGGCTTTCTATAATTTCATTATTTGATGACACTCAGATATGAGTTCTCCATAACCAGTAAGTTGGTTTACTATTATAATCATGTCATCAAATCCACCACCAATTGGTTTTCTTTCATTTTCTTTTGGTTATACCTTTCATATGGCTCACGCTTTGCTATGGAATTATCTTCGGTGTACTTTTTCTCCACAGCCTCCACCATATTTTTAACATTAATGTAGGTTTTAATGACCTTATGCAATCAATCATTCAGACAATTCAATATAACACCCCTATGTTGGGTTTTTGTGGCCTTTAAAGGTCTAGAGAACTTGTAAAAAAAAAAATATATAGTGGAATATGCACTTCAGTGGGAGTGTATGTTGACTGACCAAGGGTTGGACGGATCCTAGCCTTGGTCATGTTTAAAACCTTTGGCCCTAGGCATGTGGCAGAGAGGTGGGTTATCCCTTGTTGAGGTCAGAGAGTGCCCAAGGATCATGTTTGTCGGCCAAGAGAACTATGTGGTCTCCTGTGTGAGGTTGTAGGTCTGTGAGAGTAAGGCCAAATGCTCAATAGACTTCCGCACAATATGTACATATGACAGCCGCATGAAAAGCAACATTTTTTACAGGGACACGTGTACATGTACATTGAGAGAGCTCCTTTTGCACTGTAGTGACAAATGCTAGACTTGCTCTTAAAGGGGATAACTTCCAGAATCATAGTCCCACTGTTTTATTATCCAATTTTGACAAGCCAATCATGAGCCTCTGCATAGAGATTGTGGGTAATGAGACTT